CGTGGCCAGGCTCTTTTTCCAACATACAAGTAAACTTACTCTACGATAGGGAAGAGAGTTCGTCCCTCCCTTCTCGAATTTCCTCAAAACATCCCTTCGAAAATTGGGAAATGTCACAAAATGGATCTAGTGGCAGGTAAACTAGATGTTCTCCAGAAAGTGAGTTGTATACCGTTCGACAGTATTTTTTATGGGGAATTGAATGGTGCACATCTCAGTCTTCTATGTTCATCTGGAGAACCAAAAAAATCTGATCATATCGCAAGGGCATGACGAGGTGTGATGTTTGGGGTCACACTACGGAAGGAAGACTCACCTGCCACCAAGGTTTCTATGTAATTCCTACAGACAAGTGACCGTAGTCTACGACAGTAAAGGAAATTCGTCGCTGCCTTCACAGCTTTCTACATAACATCTGCTCTAAACATGGAACATGTCGCAAAAAATGGGGCGAGGTGTGATGTTTGGGGCCACACTACGAGAATGAATGTCATATTCGTAATCAGGGCATCGAATTACCCCAATAGGCAAAGTTTCGACGAAAAATGAAACTTTGAGATTTTGGGCAGTAATAGTGGAACCTATCCTAGCCCGCACGACAGAGCCTGGCAAGCTACTCGTGTGCCTTCAATATGCCGAAAACAGCAATATGGATGGGCCTCATTCCCCTGAACCTGAGGGAGCCCCCAATACGGCAGCGTTGGGTAGGACCGCTCGGGAGAGGCTGCTAGAATCTCAGGGCCCGGATAGGCTGCCTAAACGAAGAAGGACTAAGATGGCGATCTGTACTTTCAACGCACGAACGCTTGCATCCGAAGCTCACATCGAAGATCTGATGATGCAGGCCAGGAAGATCAAGTACGACGTCATCGGACTGACCGAGACGAGAAGGCACCGCCCGCTACACGCCGTTTTCGATACTGGAGAAGAACTGTTCCTTGGAACATGCGACAGCAGAGGCGTTGGCGGTGCTCGTCAGGTGCGAGGGGTGTGGGGGAGATACGGTATTTTATTATTTTCTTGTTTTTTTTTGTTTTTTTTTTTTTTTTTTTTTTTTTTTTTTTTTTTTTTTTTTTTTTTTTTTTTTTTTTTTTTTTTTTTTTTTTTTTTTTTTTTTTTTTTTTTTTTTTTTTTTTTTTTTTTTTTTTTTTTTTTTTTTTTTTTTTTTTTTTTTTTTTTTTTTTTTTTTTTTTTTTGTTTTTTGGGGGCGGTTGGGTGTGGTGTGTCCTCGTCAACACGCACTTGGCCATAAACATCGATTCGTACGAAAGCCTTAACCCGAATCGGACGTTTGAGATTGAGA